AAAATTTAAAACATTAATTCCAAGAGGAGTTGAGAATTGTGTTAAATTTTGGGCTTCTGGATTAATTAGAAATGCTTGAAACTAGTCAAGCATGTCAATAGAAAGCTTATGGTGAAGAAATTTTTGTCAAATCATAGTTAGTTTAGAGTATAAATACTAAAAGTAAAAAGAAAAAATGAAAAACTTGATAAAGGAATATAGATAGTTTGAAAAATAAATCTTGATGCCATTTTTGATCACGTGATCAAAATCAGATGATTTTTGGTTCATTAGAAGCGTTTTGAAAATGCTATCATTTTGGTAGTTAAATTGTCTAAATTGGTTAAGTAGATCAAAAGTTATTGAATTTTAAAGATTTTTATTATTAATAGATATAATTGTTACTGTATATAGAATAATATATAAATCAACAGAATCAATTTCAAAAAAATAATTAACAGTATATTATTTAAAAAACAACACTTAATGCAATACAGTTAGGGTTGCTAGTGCAATGTGCTTGGAGATGCCAATGGTTTACTAATATAAGTAGAGCATCTGGCGAGTCAATCATATTTAACTTTATTAAATACTATTAATTTTTATAACTATATTATTAAAAATTGTTTATTAGACAATTGCATATTATTGTATAAAGGTTTTAAATTTAAAGATTTGATTAAATACTATAGTAATTAATACAAAATAATTATATATTTTGACAAATTATTTTAAACATTTAAGCTATATATTTTTATTTTATTTGGTTTTTTTTTTATTTTTGCTAATTAGTTTAACTAACAAAATTTAAGTTATTAACCTCTCTTTTTCTTTTATTTTAAGCGATTCTGCTTTTTAATTTTTGTAAACTACTATGTAAATACACTATAACAGAGTATATATGTTATTTATATAGTGAATAGTTCTAGTCTAATGAAAAACTCACTAGATATATCTAAATACTATCTAATACAACCTGCTATAACAACTATTATTCTTACTCAGAATTCAAAACTTGCTTCAGATTTTGTATCGACAAAGAATACTCCCCTTAATTATTTGACAGGTTGTTGTATACTGTGTTAAGATCTTTTTTTCTCTTCTAATTTTTTCTTTTTTTTTAAAGAGCATAAAACAAAAGAGGAAATTTTTAAAAGAAGATTTACGAAAACAACCAGAAAATGAAAAAACAGAAAAGAAAAAAGAAACACTGATTGTGAAAAGGAAAAAATATAAAAAAAAATCTAAAACTCTGAAGGCACTATTATAATCTATGCATAATGATAAAAATTATATAACAAATGCAACATTTGTATATCTCTACTATAAAGTTTCACCTTAACATTAAATTTGCTTTCTGACCTTTTTACCAACTCCAAATTGCTTTATTGTCTATCATAATTTGTATTTTGAGCTAGGCACTGCTGTTATCCAAGAACCTGTGTCTTAAGCCACTTGCTGCAATAATTAAAGTTTTCAGGCTGAGTCCCATGAAGTAGTACTATATTCATTCATAAATAATACAGTTGAATTCTGCTAATCTGGTTGAATTTGGACATAAACACTGCTAATCTTTTGAAGAGGGTAAGCCAAATTCTCACTTTTTATCAAATTTTTTTAAAAAACCGGGTAAGAGTAAAAAGAAACTACTTAACCAAATAAAAAGAGTGTAGCTTAAAAAATATATATAACTTGTTGTACTCCTAGGTTCTAAAAAAAGACTTTGCAATTTTGTTAATAAAACATTTGTTCTATCAAAGTTTGCTACAATAAAGAGTGCTGTCTGCCTTTTCCTTCTTCATATGTGTTGCTTTTGGCTTGTATGCTAAATATAGAACAAATTTCCCAGACCAAGTTGATCTTTTTTTTCTTAAAAGCTACTACTAAAATCTTCTTAGAACTATAGTCTACAAAGCTTTGTTAACAGAACTTTTGTTCACTAGAATCTATAGCACTTGTCAAGAGTGCCACCTGCCTTTTCTTTTTGACTAGGCTTCTGGCTTTCATACTGAATATAGCAAAGATTCTTAAAGCTAGTTAATCTCTTTTCCTACAAACTGCTACTATAGTCTACTTAACTCTCCAACAGAGTTTTTATTGGGAAAATTGGTTTGAGTAATCGTTAGGAAGAGTTGTGTAATTATCTTCTTATTTACTTACACTAATTTAGTTTAAATACTGTATAATGATTATTTATATAAGTTTTAATATTCAATTATTTATATTGTTTGGGTTTAGTAATTTTCATTATTAAAGTACTATAAAACAGACACTCCAATATGTAAATAATTCGTAGAATCAATTAAAAGTGGTAAAAAATTAGCAATTCTATATTGATCTAATTTGTGAGTTAATAATAATTTATAAATTAAAAATATTTAATTTATTCTTAGTATTCAAAATAAGCTGTTTTAACTTTTATTTGTTCATGTTGATTTAATTAGTAATTATAATTAGTGAATAGTGCTTTAAATAGCTAATTACAACAATTATATTTACAACATATATTTTTATACTGACTTTTTAAAACTTTAATTGTAGTAATTATTACTAAATATTATAATTTTACAACATGTTATAATAATTACAACATGTTATAATTATTGTAATATATTATAATTATTATAATATGTTGTAATTAGGGTCAGGTTATTTGTTTAATTATATGTATAAAAATTTAGCAGAATATAATTTTGAACCAATTATGACACAGGATTAAGTATAATATAAAAACAAAACAAAACAGCCAGATTTTTTAAAATCATTTATAATAGCTTACCAACCACTAGTATGATTAAAAATCTATTTGATTGGCTGAAAATCTGATCTTCTTTGATTTGCCAAAATTAAAATTAAAATTTAATACAAATAGATTTTTCATAGGAAACTTCTACAAGCACGCCTGCCTACCACTTTCTTGATACAATTTTAGAACACATATACTTTTTAGACAAATATTTTATATTTATATGTATATTTATCATAAATACTTAAATATTTCTTTTTTTATACATATTATTTATTATTGTAAAAAAGTATTCAATTATCAGTTATATATACTAGAATAGTTCCATTTCTTAATAGTATTAGTAAAATGACCTGATTGTTCTACATGCATTTGTACAACAAATTAAATTGTTTAATAATAAAATGAGTAAACTAATATATGATTAAAGTCACATAAAAACAAGTTTTTATTCTAATTTTTTTGAAAAAAATCTTTGTGATATGCCAAAGCAAAAAATTAACTATGGCCCTTGTTCTATTTATAATTGTGATAAAAGCTCTAATAATTTTTGATATTTAACTAACTTGGCTATAAGAAAAGCATCTACTAAAGGAAATCTTCAGTTATACCCTTATTTGCAACCCAGAAATCAAATTTGTAGTCCTTATTATACAGCTATTGTTGAAAATCAATTATCCATACCTTTAATATCTATTCCAGTACTGCAAATTAAACTATCACTTGGTGATCAGATTTAAAAAATAACAAGCATTTTATATGCAAAAAGAAATAAAAATTTAATACTTGACCCTTATAAATTTGATAAAATGCTTGAAGAAGCAAATCCTAACTTGAAGAATTTCTTTGCCAATATGTATACTATATTAATACCAGACAATTGTTCACCTTATAATAAAAAGGACGATAAGAAAAAAATTGGCACAATATTATACTTAATAGTACGAATATGCAATAAGCATGCTAATAATTTTAAATTAGAACTTGCTTTGTATCTTGCAGAATCTGGAGTAACTTGTGATGCAATTAATATGTTAAGCAGCACTAGACTTTCGGTTACTCATCAAACCATATATAACTACAAAAAAAAAATTGCTGATGAGTATTCAATAAGGGTAAGAAAATATTTTAATGAAACTAAAAACTATCTTTGTATATTCAACCTAGATAATTATCATAATATCCATGAAAATTGATGCCCAGATAACACATCTCTTTCAGAGCAGTTCATCTAGCAACATGTGTATCCAAAAAAGTTGAAAAATCAGAACTTGTGCCAATTATATTTAATAATAAGTTTGTTTACAATCCTGATAATATTGATGCTTCTATTATCTGTGAAAAACTTATTAACCAATACCAGTATTGCTTCAACTTATCATATTCACAACGGATGGCCCAATAGAATAATTCATCATTCTCTAATTTTGATAGAATTGATTAGCTTTTAATTTATTTTTATAATAATGCTATTGAGAAATGAAAAGAAGAACGTAAAATAAAAGAAGTAATGTTAGTAGGAGTAAAGGAACAACAGCTATATTCCAAGCAAGATTATCTAGATGCATTAAATATTATTTTAAATTATAATAAAGAAATAGGTCATCTTGATGGTAATATAGCACCAATCATTGCAAATTGGCCAGGTCAGCGCTATATTCGTCAAGCACTTACCTATTTTCATAACAAAAATGATACTTCAATATCAAAAGAAATAGTATTATTTGTTTCTTTACTTGGGCTCTTACACATTGCTCTTAATACAAAAGAACAGGTAATAAAATATATTATCTATTTTTTGAAAAGCTCTTTCATTTTGTATTTGGTGAGCAAAAAGTTTTAGCCAAAAAACCTAAGCTGTGGAGAATGAATCTTTTGCTTAAGTTGGTATTTACTGCATGAATTAAAATTAAAGAGCATATTGTGAGAAAGTTTAATTTTTTACAAAAAAATATTGAGTATCAAATTATTATAGAGCTGTTAGACAATATTATATCAGCCTCTCTCAATATATATGCTTTATTATTTTGATCCGGATCATATAATAATTATGTAGTACCAATTTTTTGTATATAGACCTTCGCCTTGCGATACCATTATAAAAATTACAATAAAGCCCCATTAGCATTTTTATCAGATCTATTCTATTGAGAAAAGATTGACTATCCAATAAGAGAAGCAATTAAAAAAATTTAGTTCAGTTCAATGATTACTAGGTAGAGAATATGCATAGTAGAATAAAAGCTACAATATCACTAAAGGATAATGCTAATAATATACGGAAACAGGCTTATCTTTTAGACTTTTACAAGTATTCTGCATTCTGTGAGATGTTTTCAACTACAAAGCAGTATCCATATACACCATGGGATCTAAAATTTTTAACCACTAAAACTAGTATCTTTCTTCTTTCACAATTTTAAGAAATTTATAAAAAAAAATGAAAGAACCATTTTAGTTAGCAATAAAACTCCATTTTCAAAAAAGCGACAGAAAAAAGAAGAATTATCTACTACATATAATTTTCCTACTCTAGGTGAAGTAGACATAAAAAGTATGCAAACTGGATACAGTACATGATTTCCTTCTCTATTTAATAATTGTGATCATTGTTACAATACGCTAATAATAAATGATCAAGCAATTATCTTAGTATGCGGGCATGGATTTCACCTACAATGCTACAATAAAATAGAAAAAAAATGGAGGCATTGTTTAAATTACTATAAAAATAGAATATGAAAGAATGTTAATGCATTTTTAAAGGGCTTAAATTCAGAAAAAAATAAGGATGATGATTTGGATAATGACAATAAGCAAGAAGATGCCAAAGAAGATGATTTAGAAGAAACGACAATTAATCAGCTAAACAGGCAGGAAACTCTAGAATTAGATTTGGTTTATAGAATTAACGGAATTAATAGTTGGTAAATAAAAAAATGAATATAGCTAATTTTACTCTCATGAAACTTTATTCTAAATTCAAAAAAAGATTAGGTAAGTTCAAAAAATGTGTCAGCAATCATAGTAAAGTTGTGTAATACAATTATATAAAGCTTGAGTATTTGGTTGCTGGTTAGATTGATCTGTTTTCTGGTAAGTATAAAATGGGAGAGGTGAATATATATTCGGTATTCTAGTTTCAACTCGCATAAGTAGAATTTAGTTGAATATAAAAGTCTTATTTTTTTAAAAACAACAGTATTCCTTAAACCATAATTTTTAGCAGGCAAATTTGGCTGCTAAAATTTTAAATCTTTAGTGTCTGATCTAATTTTGTCAAAATTTAATATATTT